TCTCCTCCACATGCTCCTTCTGTGGATTCTGCAGGTCTTTCTTACTACAGTGCTCCCAAACCTCCGTCTCAATGTACTCCTTCTGCTGCTCGCTGTCACACTGTGTCCTGCAGGGTCTGCGTAGAGGGGCGGTTATTGCATAAATGACCCGTACAAAGTGTCATGACCAAGAGGAAACAGGAGGCGCGCTGGCATCTCTGATGAGGGACCGTGCTCTTCAGGAGTCTGGTTCAGGCCAAGGCGAGAATGTTTTCACCATGAAAACACCCAGTGATGACAGAAGACCTGCTGACGCACTGCACCACACAGTCAAACGTTTTCATCCTTTGTGTTATAGCAAGTATAGTAGAAATCCATAACCTATTGCAGGAAATCCAGAAGCCAGAGGAATGTTCCGGGCATTTTTTCATTTCATTTAAATTTTGTCTCAGATGTTTTTCCTAAACTTCCTGAGACAACCAATCGCTATGGAAGCCCATTTCCACCACATAAGAAAAAAGTTATAATTATGACATAAAAGTCAAAATTATGAGATACAAAAAGTAAATTATGACATACAAATTCCAAATTATGAGATAAACTGATCACTATGGAAGCCCATTTCCACCACATAAGAAAAAAGTTATAATTATGACATAAAAGTCAAAATTATGAGATACAAAAAGTAAATTATGACATACAAATTCCAAATTATGAGATAAACTGATCACTATGGAAGCCCATTTCCACCACATAAGAAAAAAGTTATAATTATGACATAAAAGTCAAAATTATGAGATACAAAAAGTAAATTATGACATACAAATTCCAAATTATGAGATAAACTGATCACTATGGAAGCCCATTTCCACCACATAAGAAAAAAGTTATAATTATGACATAAAAGTCAAAATTATGAGATACAAAAAGTAAATTATGACATACAAATTCCAAATTATGAGATAAACTGATCACTATGGAAGCCCATTTCCACCACATAAGAAAAAAGTTATAATTATGACATAAAAGTCAAAATTATGAGATACAAAAAGTAAATTATGACATACAAATTCCAAATTATGAGATAAACTGATCACTATGGAAGCCCATTTCCACCACATAAGAAAAAAGTTATAATTATGACATAAAAGTCAAAATTATGAGATACAAAAAGTAAATTATGACATACAAATTCCAAATTATGAGATAAACTGATCACTATGGAAGCCCATTTCCACCACATAAGAAAAAAGTTATAATTATGACATAAAAGTCAAAATTATGAGATACAAAAAGTAAATTATGACATACAAATTCCAAATTATGAGATAAACTGATCACTATGGAAGCCCATTTCCACCACATAAGAAAAAAGTTATAATTATGACATAAAAGTCAAAATTATGAGATACAAAAAGTAAATTATGACATACAAATTCCAAATTATGAGATAAACTGATCACTATGGAAGCCCATTTCCACCACATAAGAAAAAAGTTATAATTATGACATAAAAGTCAAAATTATGAGATACAAAAAGTAAATTATGACATACAAATTCCAAATTATGAGATAAACTGATCACTATGGAAGCCCATTTCCACCACATAAGAAAAAAGTTATAATTATGACATAAAAGTCAAAATTATGAGATACAAAAAGTAAATTATGACATACAAATTCCAAATTATGAGATAAACTGATCACTATGGAAGCCCATTTCCACCACATAAGAAAAAAGTTATAATTATGACATAAAAGTCAAAATTATGAGATACAAAAAGTAAATTATGACATACAAATTCCAAATTATGAGATAAACTGATCACTATGGAAGCCCATTTCCACCACATAAGAAAAAAGTTATAATTATGACATAAAAGTCAAAATTATGAGATACAAAAAGTAAATTATGACATACAAATTCCAAATTATGAGATAAACTGATCACTATGGAAGCCCATTTCCACCACATAAGAAAAAAGTTATAATTATGACATAAAAGTCAAAATTATGAGATACAAAAAGTAAATTATGACATACAAATTCCAAATTATGAGATAAACTGATCACTATGGAAGCCCATTTCCACCACATAAGAAAAAAGTTATAATTATGACATAAAAGTCAAAATTATGAGATACAAAAAGTAAATTATGACATACAAATCCAAAATTATGAGATAAACTGATCACTATGGAATCCCATTTCCACCACATAAGAAAAAAGTTAAAATTATGACATAAAAGTCAAAATTATGAGATAAACTGATCATTATGGAAGCCCATTTCCACCACATAAGAAGAAAGTTATAATTATGACATAAAAGTCAAAATTATGAGATACAAAAAGTAAATTATGACATACAAATTCCAAATTATGAGATAAACTGATCACTATGGAAACCCATTTCCACCACATAAGAAAAAAAAATCATGCTTTGGTAAATTATCATTATGACATAAACGGTCAAAATGATGAGATAAAAAGTCATAATTGTGACATAAAATTCCGAGATAAATTGATCACCATGTAAACACATTTTGATTACATAAGGAAAAAAGTCATAGTTATGACATAAACAGTCAAAATTATGAGATACCAGGTCATAACTATGAGATACAATCAAAATTATGACATAAAAAGTGAAATTATTAGATATTAAATCATAAGATAAAAGTTACAATTATGAGATAAAATGTCGTAATTATGAGAAAAAAATGTAAAAATCCGTAGATAAGAGATGTCATCAAAAAATGTCACTTTTATGTCATAATTATGAATTTTTATCTCGTAATTTTATTATATTTGTATATTATATGTTATAAGGATTTATCAAAGATATTTTATATCACATGGTGGAAATAGACTTGCATAAATAGCAAGAGTACATAAAATATCTGTGAATAGCAGCTCAGATAATTTGATCTTGGAAGAAATTGATGAGACTTCTAACTGATATACTCTGATATACTGTTATATTGTACAATATAAGTGTGAGACTGTTGAGATTTCTTCTAAACACTAGAGGAGATATATGTGAAATTACTGGGGTCTTTTGGAGACAAGCAAATATCTCAATTGAGCAATCACAATGCTGTCTATGAGGGATTATATTGACATATGGTGAGGAATTAAGCAAACATTTGTGAATATTATGAATATTCATTTAGATATGTAAAAGTTTTATCTGTATAACCTGTTATTTGTTTTGGTATTACCCAATAGTCAGACTTATTCAATAATATTACATAATTTCTTTGAATTTCTATGACATAACCAATTAAATATCATTTTTGGTTAAGTGACAAAATATATAGTCTTTAGTATTTTGTGTGACTTTATATATGACATTAATCGATTTGCAGAAGGGGCTTTGTAGTAAAAGCAAGTCTATGATCACTATCAAGTAACTTTGAATGGACTCTCTGTTGTTTATGAAGGTGGCCACTAGATAGATGATGAGCTCAGATCTTCTGGCTTATTTGTTCGGCTTTGCTCTTTTAAATGGACAATTTCCTCCTGTTCCCTTCTGCTTGCTTATTAACGGGCTGATGTCCATCTAACTTCCTGTGATAGAACGCAGACACAGCTCTATCCCACTTCCGGCAATGAAAATAATAATTTTTTTGCACCATGACATTTAAATGGCAATTATTTATATTATTTTAATTATAATTAATTATCATTAGCATAATATGAAAAGAATATTTCAAGGACCTTTTAATGCAAATTTTTTTTTTAATGATTTAAATATACATATGACATCATAGTACCATTTGTTGCACTTAACTCTTTATCACAGAAATGTGAGCATTTGCAGGGGAAATGCAGTTACAAATAATGGTGTTATGCCAAAATTCTTGATTGTCCTAAAAAATGACAAAGTTAAATGAGATAAAAGTCAAATTTAACATGCATTGAAAATGAGATAAAAAGTCAATTATGAAATACTAACTCTTAATTATGACATAGGTCAAAATTATTAGATAAAAAGCCATAATTATAAAATAAAAAGTCAAAAATTTTGATAAAGTAAAAAAAAAGTTTAAATTATGAGATAAACGAATCACCATGGAAGCCTATTTTCCATAATTATGATATAAAAAGTAAAAAAGAAAAAGAGAAAAAAAGCTGAAATTATGGCATAAAGTGTCAAACACAATAAGATAAACTGATCATTATGAAAGCCAATTTCCACCACATAAGAAAAAAATGCTTTGGTAAAATTATTACATAAAAATTGTTATGTTGAAATTATGAGATACTAAGTTGTCATTACGACATAAGAATTAATTCTGGTAACACTTTCTATGAAGCCCGTATTTATAATACATTATAAGGGTATTCTTAAGGCATTATAATGAATGCATAATGCATTATAAAAAAAAACCGTATAATATGTTATATCAACTCATGAATATTCATAACAAGTTACAATACATCATAATACTTACATATTTGTGGTTATAATTGTGGAGTATGATTATTTATAACATACAATGAACACCATATTAAATCTACTTCATTTACAGAATAATGGACTGTATCATATCTTGACATTGTTTATTTAAGATCGTTATTATTATTATTATTATTACTATTTATAAGTAGTCTTTGACCGCTTTAAGTAAAGTAGCATAAGAAAAATGGCAAGATATGAGACTTATAATACATTATAACTATGAGAAATATAATCCATTGTAAAAGTGGATGCAACGTGTTCATTGTGTTATAAATCATCATACTCTTAAAAGCTATAACCACAAATAAGTAAATATTATAATATATTAAAACTGTTCTTATGAATATTCATGAGATGATACAACATATTATAAGGTTTTTTATAATGCATTATGCATTCATTATAATGCCTTAAGAATACCCTTATAATGTATTATAAATACAGGTTTCATAGAAAGTGTTACCGTAATTCTTATTATTATGGCATAAAAGTCATCATTATGACAAAGTCATGAACTTTAATTGTCCTAAAAAATAGGCTTAATTTTCTACCACGCATTGAATAGCACATGTACTCTAGAAACAACCACGTGCGATTTTCAAACACCTTTATTACAAGGTGAAGTGGCACAACAGTAAACACATGTGCAAATATGAACTCTTTCATGCTAGTTAAAAGTGCTCTTGAAAATTGTGAAAAATTCTGTACTATTAAACTCAGTGCTCTGAAGGCACAACCCCACACAACCGTCAACTACCAGTCGCAAAATATTGCACTTTAGGATCTACCTTGGAATGTCAATTCAAATAAACAACATAAACAATCGCAAAGACTTTAAAACATACTGTACCAAATTCTGTATTAAATATTGTACCTAATATTTCAAATATATCTTTCACAAAACCTGAGAAGTTTAATCATAAGGTTCGAGTGGTATAATCATATATCAAACGTGACAGTCTTAGAAAACGGATTTCAAGAAATCACAACCGCAAGTATTATAACTTATCAATTTAGTTAATAAAGCAAAACTGATTGCTCATCTAATTACATTTGGTCCCTAAACAATAACAAGTAGTTCTGCTATTTACTAAATGCAGTGTGAAAGACTGGTAGAAACAATATGAGCTGTGCTTGGTAAGGAAATTGCCAGCAGAATTCCCTTGATCTGTCTCTCCGTGATGGAAGAAAATAATGTCATTCTGGGGCAGGAGTCTTCGACCCTACATTCAGTCCAAAAAACGTCTTGCCTGGGACGGCGGACTTCTCTGCAGACGTGTCTCCGCTCTCACTGTAGCGGTTACTGAAGAAGCTTATGACATTGACAAGTATGAATGAAGTGAAAAACAGAGTGAGGACGATCCAGAGCACTCGGTTTCCTCGGAAGAATTTTGGGAATATTCGGTCAAAGACCTCTAATGCCTCCTCGAACCTGCTGCAATAGGACAAAAACAACATGACTACTGATTTATTGACAATGATTTGACGGGCAAACACTCTGAAGTCAGTTACCTATTAGTCTTCCTGTCTTTATCAGTATTTCCTCTTGCTTCCTCCTCAGAGTCCTTCGGCTTCTCTTCCGCTTTCTCTTCCTCCTCCTTCAGCTCTTGAAGTTCTTTAGACCTCTTAAGTCCTTCCTGGTACCTACAGTGAAGTTGATTTCCTTAATTAATATACAGTAGAAGCACAAATTGTCTTCTAAAACCTTCTGTGAAGCTTAAAAAATACTGATTACATGAGATCATTTTCAAGAATGTCTATTAAAATGTAAACATACACAATTTTAAAAATGAAACGTGTCCTCATAATTTTTTATTTTTTTTTACATTCTACCTAAATTTAGCTTTTAGTCAATCAAAAGATCATGCTTTTGTCTACATAGAGTTTTTTTTCCTAAAATACAGAACTTTTCTGTTCAACCCTGTTATATTTTGACATTTCACCTTTAAAAAAAAAAAAAAAAGAATCTTTGTATTTATATATACTTAATAAATACACACAGCACACACACATATATTATGTATTTGGGATGCGATTAATCGCGATTAATCATTTGACAGCACTAATATATATATATATATTCATATTTATATATGATTTATATTACATATAAATATATATTACATTATTAAATATACACATGTATGTGTGTTTTACTTATAAATATATACACAGTACACAAACACATATTATGTAAACACAAACTTTAATTTTGGATGCGATTAATCGATTTGACAGCCCAAATCACATATAAAAGAATTTAAAGAATTAAAGAATACTTGAATTAAATTTCTCAGTTTTAATTACGGTAAGACTTTAAAAAAAATAAACTAATACTTTTATTGACCAAGCAAACATTAAATTGATCAAAAGTAACAAAGACAATTCTAGAAAAGATTTGTTTCAAATAAATGCTTTTTTTTTTTTTATTGTAATTTTAATCGTTTTTTATACATATACATACAACATCAAGGCACTATTTGTCGTACTGAAGTCTTATACAGGTACTGAAACAGAGTTGAAATAATGTAATGCTATAAAGGTTGTAACAAAATATTTAGGACGAGGGTATATGTGACCCTGGACCACAAAACCAGTCATAAGGGTCATTTTTCTGAAATTGAGATATATACACCATATCAAAGCGGAATCAATAAGCTTTCCAATGATGTATGGTTTGTTATGATAGGACGATAATTGGCCGAGATACAACTATTTGAAAATCTGGAATCTGAGGGTGCAAAAAAATCTAAATATTGAGAAAATTGCCTTTAAAGTTATCCAAATGAAGTTCTTAGCAATGCATATTACTAATCAAAAATTAAGTTTTGATATATTTACAGTAGGAAATTTACAAAATATCTTCATGGAACATGATCTTTACTTAATGTCCTAATGACTTTTGGCATAAAAGAAAAATCAATAATTTTGACCCATACAATGTTTTTTTGGCTATTGCTACAAATATACCCCAGCGACTTAAGACTGGTTTTGTGGTTCAGGGTCACATATGGTTTAAAAATCACCCTCTGGAAAACCCCTACTTGTTGACAACTAATCTGAATATTGGGAAGAAAGAATCCTACTATGTTGGTCACCAATGTTTCGTTAAAAAAAAAAAAAGTGATAAAAAAATGGCAATTTCCTGAGAATGTTTTTGCAATTATACAACTGCGTCAATATAACTAGTCATCTGAATAGACTTAAACGTTTGTTGTTTGATGTGTGCGGTCACACAGATTAATTTAAGCGTTCAGTAGTGCCAAGGGTGTTACCCTTTGTTATACGCTGCTTCTTCAATCTTGGCTTTGATCTCTTCTGTAACCTTCTCTGGACTGCAGACAACTTTGGTTGGCGTTGCTTCACTTTCCTGCTCCGTCAGAGGGTTTCCACTGCTTTGTTTCACATAGGAAAGAAGAGACAGAAATGGTGCAATAAAAAAATTACCATTACGCAGATGTGTGCAAACTACAGAATTGACTTAAATGTCACAGAAAGGAACATGGCACACATGCCACTGCAGCTCTGACAGAAGTGAGACATGAGATGTTTAAACGTCCTTTGGGAGGTCTTTAAATATCACTCGCTTCAGAATAGCACGAACGTTCCCAGATTGTTATTGTCTGTCTGTCTTTGAGTTAAAAGTCTGGTGACAAGCTCTTTGCCTTTTCTTACTAAAACTGTAGAGTCGGACACCGATGACTGGTTTTTGGCAAACCTTCTTGTACAAATGTTTACATTTAATCACAAAATAGGATGTAAAATTGACTGCAGATGGGATTTCTGTGGGATTCTTGTGCTATTTTTAGCACATGGAAAAAAACTAGAAGGTTTAGTAAGTTATAATCTTCCAAAAGGGCCACACTCTTAAAAATAAAGGTTCTTTATTAGTATATGTGCTTCTATGAAGAACCTTTAACAGCCATGCAAACTTTCAACTGCACAAAAGGTTCTTTATAATAGAAAAAGGTTCTTTAGATTACACAGCCCTGCATCTTAAAGGCCCAATATTAGCTAATTTGATGCTCAAAGTTAAAAAATATGTTACCTAAAATAATGCTTAGTTTAGAAATATCAATAAAAATGTACATCACATCCAGTTTTTTTCATACAAATATGCAAATTATATATTATCAGCTATAATACATTTACCAAAATGACAAAGGCAGTCTGTAACACTTTAGTTTAGGGACCAATTTTCATTATTAACTAGTTGTTTATTAGCATGCATATTACTGGCATGTTGGCTGTTTATTAGTACTTATAAAGCACATATTAATGCCTTATTCTGCATGTGCATATTTTAGATCCCTTAATCCTACCCCACACCTAAACTTAACAACTACCTTACTATTAATAAGCAGCAAATTATAAGTTTATTGAGGCAAAAGTCGTAGTTAATCTTAAGTGAGAATTGGTCCTCAAACTAAAGTGCCAAGCAGTCAAATGTCAGAAATTTCGAAAAGTAGTATTCAAAGTGCATCATTAAACTTATAATCTGCAAAAGAGTGGATAAATATGTTCAAATACTCCGTTTAATGTCAAAGTACTTTACATAAACACAAGTTTATGAACAAATAAGCATTTTTTCACAAAATCTGTAATTTTCTGTCAGATAAAACACACAGATGTAGCAAAAAACATTTGGGTCGATTTGCATTTTCTTTTGTCACTGGACATAATTCTAAGCTCTAAATCAGGAATAGGCATAAGATTATGTCTTCAGAATCATTCCTACATATGAAAATAATCTGAACTGAACAAATATTTGTAACCTGGCTCAGAAAAAAAAAATAGGAATCACGTCTTTGTGGCAGTTTTTCTTGTGATTAAAAGATAATACAAGACTTCACCGTACAAATGGTTGTCGAAATCAGAAATGCTATTAAATGCACATAATATTTTGTGAGTAAGTGTGATGTGCTACACCACTATTTTTGGAATCAGCACCCCAAAATTAGTAAGAAACAAGCATTGGATTTCTTTCAGCAAATATGATACTGGGCAGCGTAATTAAGTTCTTCACATAAAAAATGGTTCTTTTAAGAACTGTTGACTGAAAGGTACTTTGGGGAACCAAAAATGGCTCTTCAATGGCATTACTGCAAAAACCCCTTTTAGGAGCCTTTAATATCGAGAGTGTCGGTGAATAAACATATTTAGATGGGCTTCCTATTTGCCATGCAAAAATGCAACATTCTCTGGTTGCATATCTTTTGATAAGGCTCAAATTGTTCCATAGTTTTAAGCAAACTGAGCAGATATAGGAATACATTTCCAAAGCATTACTTGATAAATGTGTGCTCATGTACCACAGTTTATGAGGAATGTGGCGGCACAGAGTCGAGAAAGGCAATTACTTACGATTTATCAGGCACATCTTGTTGTGTGGGGTCTGAGGAACTGCTGTTCTTAATGGTGTTCGCCTCACACTAAAAAAACAACAGTAGAATACAATCAAGTAGAAAAAACCTCAAGGTCTCATTTTGATGAATGGCTTTGGCCTCAAACGGTCACATTGATAAAATGCCACATGTAGGAAACTTAAAGATAAAGCATCATTAATTACATCTGGCTGTTGACAGGCTACAACATAACAGCTGACGAGGCAGTGCGCGTGAGATAGGACTCACCACCACAGGAAGTGGGCCAGCATTAGGGCCAGCGGCGGCTGGCGTCTGCCCGGGGATGTTCAGTAGATTAAACTTGGGAACTACAGCCACGCTGACTCTTCGTCTGGGCAAAGCCTTAGAGAGAAAAACACACACTCTCTGAAACTAAATACTTCATATGAACACATTTTATCTGTAGATAGTCACGTTCTCTGCCTCTCTGATCTGTGTTATGGATGTTATTGGTACAATATTAAAAAGACAGGGTTTTCTGTACCTTAGGTTCAGCAATCATATATTCACAGTAATAACCATATTTTTGGCAATATAGTGTTCTTGAGCTGGCTATATGATTCTCTGGAGATTAAAAGGTGTTTGATGGTTTTTTTGTATCATTATTAGATGTTTTCTAAAGAACCATAGAAGTAAAAGAAACCAAAATTTGTTGCTTTTAGTCCATGCTTGGGTTCAAGCTTTGAAGTCATCCACAAAACTTCAAATGTTTGGGGTCAGTGAGATTATTATTTATTTATTATTCACTGATAATAGCAAGGAATGTTTCCTGAGCACCAAAGCAGCATACTAGAATGATTTCTGAAGGATCATGTGACACTGAAGACTGGAGTAATGATGATGAAAATGCAGCTTTGCATCACAGGAATAAATAAATTTTTAAATTATATTCAAATAGAAAACAGTTATTTGAAATTGCAATAATATTTCACAATATTACTGTTTTACTGTATTTTTGATCAAATAAATGTAGCCTTGGTGAGCAGAAGAGACTAAAGTGTTCTTTAGAATGAAAATGTCCTTCCTAGAACTGACTTGCAACCAAATCTAATCATAAACTACAGGCTACTGGCTTTAAATACTTCCTATTTTAGTTTGGGGGGGCTACACTCATCAAACAATTTCAAGGGGTTTTTATAGAGGTAGTTCACCCCAAAATGAAAATTCTCCCATGATTTACTCATCCTCCACTTGTTCCAAACCTTTATGAGTTTCTTTCTTCTGTTGAACACAAAAGAAGATATTTTGAAAAATGTTGGCACACAGACTTGTGCCTACCTTTCCCATTTGCACAGACATGGATCTTGATGTACGTGGAACACCATCCTCTGTGCGAAACACATAAGTAAGAGATGAAACATAAGCAGGTATGTCTTGAAGGGGGGAAACAACTGTGGTTTTGATGTTTCAGTTTACCTCCAGTGTCCACTGAGCCCGCGTAACAGCGGCTGGAGTTTTGGCTGGCAACCTTCTTAAACTCCATCAGCTCAGCACGGTCCTTCTCATACGTCCTCTTCAGATTCTCCACATACTGCATCATCACCTCAGTGGCCTTGTTCATTCTCTTCTCCTGCAAAGGAGACAAAGCAAGAGTTACAAATGATCAGAGACCTCTAAACTTGAACTGATCATAATGTACAGTACCTCTAAAATCAGAGGGAAACAATCAAAACCAAAGGCCATTCCTAAAATCTGATTGGTTTAGTAGGGGACACAATATTAAAATAATTGGATTCTCTCATGAATAGTATTTGTGACGTGAAGTTTGCCCAGTAGATTCAATGTCACACACAACAGTCATTTCAGGCCAACAGAACTAGCAGGTTGCATCTACTATGCAAAAGTAGATTTAAACTGCATTTGTTGTTAAAAGAAACATGATGAGTATTCGGGATATTAATAAGAGTATCATTCTAAGGCAGCAGCAACAACAACTTCAAAAATATATGTATCATCAGTCATTATTAAATTATGGGATGCAAGAGCAAAGCATGGTAAACTGAGGTAATGATACTTGCAGTGAACCCATGCAGGGCCTATTATTAATAGTGCCGCCACTAGCAACAGACATACCACTGAGTCCTTCTCTGTTCACTTGGTTTACTTTGGCTTGCACATTAACCTAAGGGCAGGCATGACACTTAGCTAAATCTATCACAAACATATTTTATCTTCTGGACAATAAACATTCCCATCTAGTGCCCCCTCTGCTGCACCAAGACTGTTTTCTCATGAAAACATGAAGAGCACTTGAAATGGGGGGCCAAGAGAGACTCTCATATTAGCGTAATTTCAGCAAAATGTAGCGTGCAAAAAGATCTATTGCCCATTTCAATATCTCACACATGTAGGGATTTCTAGTACATAAACGGACACTGCTATGCCCCTATCAGCCATCGTGAGGTTTGCTAATCACCCCAGCACATGACTCCAATATTCTGGGTCGACTTCCTGCCAGTCTTGTCGTCATCTACTCAGAGGAGTGATTAAAGACTAATCCAATCAAGAGACAACAAAGCTTTCTTGGTATCTGTAGGGCTCGTTCAGGGGGGCCCCAAGTACAGTGAAGAGATTTTGGGTCACACTTAATTTTAAGGTCCAAATTTCGCTATTAACAAACTATTAACTACGAATTTTGCATCAATAAACTCCTAATTTGCTGCTTAGTATTAATTAGTAAGGTAGTTGTTAAGTTTAGGTATTGGGTAGGATTAGGGATGTAGAATATGGTCATGTAGAATAAATGCTTCATAAGTACTAATAAACAGCCAATATGTTAACAATAGACATGCTAATAAGCAACTAGTTAATAGTGAGATTTGGTCCCTATTCTAAAGTGTTACCATTTATATATAATATATAAATATATATTGTATAATGTCTTTGATTACTTAATTTTAGGGAATTAATTATTATTAATTCATTCAGAAACGTTTATTAAATTGATGCTGTAACCAGGGCCGCTCAGGCATTGCATTAGTGCCTATGCTCGCTCGTTCAGGGGGGCCCCAAGTACAGTGAAGAGATTTTGGGTCACACTTAATTTTAAGGTCCAAATTTCGCTATTAACAAACTATTAACTACGAATTTTGCATCAATAAACTCCTAATTTGCTGCTTAGTAATAATTAGTAAGGTAGTTGTTAAGTTTAGGTATTGGGTAGGATTAGGGATGTAGAATATGGTCATGTAGAATAAATGCTTCATAAGTACTAATAAACAGCCAATATGTTAACAATAGACATGCTAAGAAGCAACTAGTTAATAGTGAGATTTGGTCCCTATACTATAGTGTTACCTATTTTTGTTATACAATGTGCTACCTAAAACAGCAAAAGAACCAAAACCCCAAAAGACATTGAGCAAATAAATATAACAAACAATAGGATAAAAAAGATAAACTATTTGCATGTTTCCACCTTTTTTGTTTATGGAAAGCATGCTTTCCTTCCCCCGCTCTCTCTCTCACAAATGCACGCATACAGTGAGTACACCAGGGCTAGTCAACTCCTGCTCTGTGAATTTATCAATAAAATAGTTTCGCAGCTGAAAAGCTACATGACATTTCTCAGTCGCGTGGTGGTAACGTTACTGTTCTTGAAGCAGTTAACCTATCTCTCTCTCGCTTATAACTGCATTAGACTGCATTAATAACTGCATTAGCCTGAATATCAATGGCTCAAGCCTCCGTTGACTTTTTAGTATTAGCAACGGAAGGTTTGGGATGAGGTGCGTAAGAAATTAGTTCAACACACACAAGTTTTCAGGACAGAAACATGACAAATGTCTTGAAATAAAACATCTGAACAATGTCTTGAGGCAGTGGTGCCTGTAGTTGTACGGCAGGTCGGAGTAATAGGCGTGGCAAAAGGTGAATGCTACAACAGAAACTAACCCCTAACCAATTAGAAAGACCTTTATCCACAACCCCTACCTTTCGGAATGCCCTAATCTTTAGCCACGCCCACTGCTCCAGACTGCAGTTATCCCTTCTTGGTACCATAAGCGCTCCGACTGCGATATGAGCAGATCTAAATGTAATGCCACAATCAACACTTTTAATTTTCACTTTACTTGCAACAGTTATTCTCTGTTCTAATAGATTTAGTTTAAAGGGTTAGTTCACCCAAAAATGAAAATTCTGTCATTAATTACTCGATTCAATAACGACTTTATTCAACAATTCGTCTCCTCCGCGTCACCCTGGTGCCACTTTGGACAATATCCACTGAACGGTTTAGAACGACACGAGGGTGAGTAATTAATGACAGAATTTTCATTTTTGGGAACGTAAACAGCGTATGCTATTCTGTGTCAGCTGCGTCATGCGACTACGTTGTTTACGCTTTGATTTGAACGAAAACAACATATCCGCGTGACACAGTGGATATTCTCCAAAATGGCACCAGGGTGACGTGGAGGAGACGAATTGTTGAATAAAGTCGTTATTTTTGTTTTCTTTGAGTACAAAAAGTATTCTCGTAGCTTCGTAAAAATTATGGTTGAACCCCTGATGTCACATGGATTATTTTACCGATCTCCTTGCTACGTTTCTGGACGTTGATCGTGTAAGGACCCTTGCTGTCTATGGGAGACCCTGGAGTTGGTTCACCCTCCACCTATGCTGAATTTTCTGAAGTGGTTTCTCAGTCAGTAAAACAAACAAGAACACGGAGACCAAACTGTGCTGGATGAAGTGGACAATCAACTACAAACAACTGAAACAAAAGACTACGTTTTGAAAGTTAACTTTAAAAATTTCAGCTGAGTCCTGTGAATAAGCGGCCGTTCTTGGATTTTGTGTCCACTCGTGCTGTTTTTCAGTTGTTTTCCTATGTGAATGCAATGGATGTCTTTGACCATTCTGAAACAAAGCCTGCATCTTTCCAACTGTAACAGCATGTATATGTGATGATTATATTAGCCATGAACTTAAAGCGGTCATATGACGTTGCTAAAAAAGAACATTATTTTGTGTATTTCGAGTCTAAACTTTTATAAAGAATATCTTTTTGGTTTGAGACTTTAGTGTTTGCAACTTTAGGGATCTTATCTATTCACAAACAGCTTGTAACACTCCAAAGGGAAAGGAAAACTTGAAATCGCATCATATGACCCCTTTAAAAAAAATGATTAAACACACTTGCTACAGCGTTATAGCGTTTTGAGTTTTGCCGCTGTGGTAGAAAGGCACTGTAAAGGGTGCTGTCACATTTACCATTGTGGGGCTCATTCACAGATGAAATCCAGTCATTTGAATAGGAATCCACACAATTGGAAACATCTTGTGAGGGCAAATGATTTCACCATGCAGATTTTGCATTTGAGTTCAGTTGTTCAATTTACTTTTGACCAACAGAAACCGCTTGGTTTGGAAGTGATTTCTGTGCTTCATACATCGCTACACTATTGACAATGAGTTTTTTTGTTTGTGAAATTTCACTAAAATTTCCATAATGTGACCCTGACGCACCTTTAGTAGTTGACAAAGAGGTTATGATGAAGTTATAACATGCATCTCACCTGCCGCACAGCTCCCACCATTTCAGCCCTGCTGGAGAGGCGGTTGGTCAGGCGGTACAATACGGCGATCGTTTCTAAGAGATGCTGGTAAAACTCCCGCTGCTCGATGTTCTGCCACAGTGACACAGTGTTCTGAAATGGGACACCAACAACAATTCCAGTTATATTCCAGTTTATTCCCAACATGTGTGTGTGTCTGTGGGCTGTTTACATTGGGGTCTGACCTTGAGAGTGCTTTTAAACTCTTCCAGTTCCTTCTCAGCATTTTCCTCAGTCAGGCTGCGCTCTCTTTCCGCCTGTTTCAGCCGCGACTCCAGCGTGTAATTGTCATTGCGGAATGCCAGGGACAGCTGCACAAAGGCGTTCTGCAGGAGAAGACAAGATGCATCAATTCACTGTGAAAGTATTTGTCATTGTGAAAACACTTGAATCCAGCAGTTTTCACCAAAAGTCAATAAACCTTGGGCACAGTGGAAAAGATCATAAAAATTATAGGGAAATGTAGTTACTTTACTTAAGTGTCATTCTCAGGACAGTGCTACGTATGAGATAAATAAAAGGATACTTAATTTAGTCACATTCATTGTTTCATTTGATTGTCTAGTTTGTAATGCAAGATTTTTAACACAATATTGATTTTGTTTTAATGATTTTGCATGCTCTCATTTATTACCTTTGCATTTTACATTTACATTTAGACATTTAGCAGACGCTTTTATCCAAAGAAAGACACTTTTATCATATTTTGTCCAAGAACTGAGCCCTGAGGCACCCCAGTAGTTAGATGTTGTGACTTGGACACCTCACCTCTCCAAGATGTCTTGAAGGACCTATCTGAGAGATAAGACTCAAACCGCTGGAGCGTGGTTCCTGAGATGCCCTTTGCCAATAGGGTTGACAGGAGGATCTGGTGGTTAACCGTGTCAAAAGCAGCGGACAGACCCAGCAAGATTTTTAAAGATTAAAGAGTAAAAATCATCCAAAATAAAAATGTTTAGAAAAAAATATATTTTGAATGATATTGAAACACCATGCTTCCACTGTCAGACTCTGCTGCTTTTCATTACATGTTACATTTTCTGAAAAAACAAAACTGAATTCATTCTTTATAAATGAACGAATGAATGAATGGTTTGGTGCATTGATATTTGCTGGGCTGTAACCATTGGAGGTAATACTAATGATAATAGGAAACAAACACTATTCAGATACAAATGTCACAATGACCTGAGAATGAGATAAAAAGAAATCTGATTTAGGATTTAAAATATAATAGTTATCATGGGAAATACATTCTTTTAATGTTTTTGAAAAAAAAAAAAGTCTCCTATGCTCACCAAGGCTGCATTTATTATATACAGTAAAGATAGTAATATTGTGAAATTTTATTACAATTTAAAATAATTGTTTTCTATTTTAATATATTTTCAAAATGCAATTTATTTAGACATGACAGATAAACAACTTGACATGCTTTTGAGAACACTCTGGGTCTAACCGGAGCAAGACTGAGGAAAGCAGCAATATTAAGATAACTTTACTGTCAGGATCAAAGAGCGCAGCGGCAGTACAGCCAGTATTGTCTGAATATTAGAGAGGAAAATACGTCCAGCCCTTGACCCTCACTAGCGTCATCCTGGGAGCAGACTGTATTGACAAAGGCATGTTTGTTTCCTCACAGGGGACAGGAACTCACTAAAACCCATCAAATTGCCATGTCCTAAGCCAGGCTCAACAGCACAGACAAGAATGGCCTTCGTGGACATATCAAAACCGCCTTATTCTGGAAAACACTACTGAACTAGAGCAGATATGATGCAGATTCATACACAACTGGACTGATTTTTTCTTGATTATATATGAGACCAAAATTAACAAGGGCCAAATACAAGTAAAATTGCTGAATAATAAAATTATTGTCATAAAGACATTTTTTAAATTAAAAAAAAAAAGCTAAACACAATTATACAATTATGTTAAACTCACTATTTCAACTGTTAAGAAACAAACAAAAAAAGTGTTCTTTGCACAAAGCACAAGAATGCATGAAACGTTCAGACTGCATTATAAAATCACTACATAAATATATAAAAATTTGAATCATTAAATTATTTTAAATTATGCTATTTATACAGTTATATATGTGTGTGTGTGTGTGTGTGTGTGTGTATATCATCAGGATAATTGGTTCACCGATTCATTCAAAATGTGGATTCATTCAGAAAATGTGCGTTGCTTGGAGATGCACAACAGATTTGATGTGGCTTTAATAGGTAATATTTGCGTCGGCAAAACTGAGCAACAGACAATATTGTGTTTAAAATATAACACAATATTAACTTCTTATTTACTGAACAGTTATATAAAATCACAACAGCACTCGTGTGATATTGCTCTCAGATGCTTTTAAATCTTTGTTTGTTTTGTTCAAACTGAGGGACGAATCAAAATGAGTGTTAACACAGATACAGTGCCACAGATGCTGTCGAAAGAGTTCAACTTGAGGCAGTGTTGATTTAGTATTTTTTTTTTCCTATTTATTTGCTGTTTTCATTTTAATTTGAACATTTTAGTGATTCTGTTGTGTTTTATCATTTTTATTCAATTCGTCTCTATGCTAGCTAACTACCTGAAATAAAACAAGTTTAAGTTTTTTAATATTTTATTTTATTTTAGTCTACGTTTATCTTAAGTAACATGATTTTTTATGGTTTTATTTTTAGTTTTAATTTTAGTTTTAATTAACAACAGTAACCCTGAGTGCTGTTAAAGAAATGTTCTGTCGAAGAGCAGAACAACACTTTAATGATTCCATTACTTTTCACCCAAAAATGAAAATTCTGTCATCATTTACTCACTCTCATGTCATTCCGAAGACTGTATGACTTACTTTCTTCTGTGGAACACAAACGAAGTTATCTGGATTGACTTGAGGGTGAGTAAATTATTGTAAAATGTTCATTTTTGGATGAACTATCTCTTCAAGTCAACATTATTTAAAATAAGCTGCAATAAGCTTATGCACAGACTGAAACAAGATGATCACACTGAGTTCATACCTCGTTCCTGCTCGGTCGTTTCACTCAGGTCAGGAAGCTTTGGGCTGGAGATGCTCTGGTTACGCATCAGTTTGTGCTCCTATGGAATGAAAACCGTAGTGATTTTACTAAATCGGGGACATAACATTCCCTTTACTCTGCCAACTGGGCTCAAATCTCAGAGAAAGCCATAAAAGGAACATTTAACCTACTAACACAGCATGGTTACTAGGATGGCCAAAGACAACAAAGGATTACCTCGCGCAATTTAGACAGTTTCTGAACGTTCCCAGGTGGCACAGGGAAGTCCTTGTACCCAGAGGACTTAAAAAGAGACTCCCTTGATTTGTCTGAAAGACTGTCCTCCCCTTTAGGAGCTGCATTCCTCATGTTTATGGAGCCTACCGTGTCCCAGGAGACGGCTCTCATCAGAGGAGGAAAGGCCCCTATTGTTTTGATTTCGGCCGTGCACGGGGCTTGCTGTGTGGGTGGCCGGGGGACGGGTTTGGCTACCCCTGTGATGCCACAGCCAGAAGTCTCCTCCTTTTTCTGGGCTGCGTGTTCAGAGTTTTTCCCCTTGTCTGCTGGTCCATGATGGTCTGGCTTCTCCTTCTGAACCACAGCAGGATCTCTGGCTGGTACAGCGGTGGAATAACGCACGGTTAAAGGTCCTGAGGACACCTTTCGCTTGTCACTGGGCATCCAATCTACTAGCCTCGTGAAGGTCTGAGGAAGAACAAGAACAAGAATATGAGTTTAATGATTAAGAGAAAGAACAAGTGCAATAAAGCGGTCAGTATCACTTTTCAATACAGTTCAGTTTATAACATCAGTCTTATGCATTAAAGCATGAAATAAAATCAAGCATATATTTATCTAGGCTACTGTTAATTAATATAATGTAAAATATGTTTTATATTTTATACATTGTTTTGTGTATATATTAAATACATGAATTAATATAATATTAAATAATGTTTATTAAAAATACACACACACACACACACACACACCAAATAATTATGAATTTAAATATAAATATGTACTCAAGTCCTACTTAAGTGGGTCAAAAAAGCACTCTAAATTTCAGCTAATATAAATATAAATTTATAATAAATAAATCAGCTATCTAATACAAATTTAAACTATAATACATTTTAATTTCATTGCAATTAACATACATGTAAGTGTCTGAAAACATTACATTCACTTCAAACTTAAGTATATTCTTTAAAAGTATTTCATTTCCATAAAAATATATATAAATACTTTTTTTTTTCTAAAGTGTACTTTTCACAAAAGACCTGATCATTTCGGTCCAACAGTTTAAACATGAGAAGAGAAATGATGATCAACTACATTGTGACTGTTTTTGGTGCAAAAAACAACAACATTCTAAGTAAAAATAAAAGGAAAAAATAATAATATGGCCACTTTAACATAAAATTCACACACATCTGATTGTGTTTTAATATCGGAAACACTGAAGAAGGAAGATTACAGCGAGAAGAGCAGAAGATATAACATTTGTTACACAAACCTCCTGCTCTGGCTTACTCGTGTCCCCTTGGTCATGAGTAGATGGTACCTCCAGATGCTAAACACATACACAAACACAAACAATCCAATATTTATCATCACCAGGAGGACACAACATCAACACTATACAGAAGGGAATCTGAAGTGGCGCTCACCTTAGCTATGGAGGGACTTGCTGGAGGAGTTGTGGTGACCTCAGGACCTGGTGGAGAAACAAATCCATTTAGCTTAGGTCAACCACGGCAGGGATCTCTGCAGGCAAATGTGACTGAAAGCACAGCATGGTACCTAGCTGTGAGGGTGAGGAGAGGGAACTGCTTCTGGATGGTCGGGGGGAGGAGCATGGCGTTGGGTTCGGGGAGAGAGCTGTAACCCAAAGACACTGTTACCCATTTTTTGGACACACACTGACTATCAGGGTTTCAAAGTTAGGATATCACTTTGCTTTATCTCTCATCGGCCTGTGGATATACTCAAGTCAGTAAGCTGAAGCTGGTGTGCAGGATAAAGGAGGATTTGACTGGTGCACAGGTCATTTGAGGACATGCGGACATGTACATGATGGTACAGTCCGATAAGAAAGGAAGTCGCAAAGGCTAAAAATAAACAAGCTGCTTCTGAAATAAACATTTCAAGATCGCAACAGAAACAATAGCATTCACCACTTGAAAGAAGTTCTTCTTCATTATTAACATGATTGGAAAGATAGTTAACAAAATGTGACATGCTGTGAGTTACCACAGACAATAATTTAGAGAAAAAATGGTTTATTTTGTTTACAGTACTGCACTTACAATGGAAGTCTTACTGGGATAAACGATAAAAAATAGAGATCTCAAGCTACAGAACAAGACTTAAACAATGTTACCATGAGACAATCTTTAAATTCCTGTCAAGATCATGCAAAGCTTGTAAGCCCTGTAACTTTCACATATGTGACCCTGGACCACAAAACCAGTCATAAGGGTCAATTTTTGAATAAATAAGCTTTCCATTGATGTATTGTTTGTTATGATAGGACAATATTTGGCCGAGATTCAACTATTTGAAAATCTGGAATCTGAGGGTGCAAAAAAAATCTAAATATATAAGACGTGTTATACAAATTCAGCGGTACATCAATGGTTCTCAACCTGTTTCACTCAAAGACGAAGAAGTCTCCCCAAACAGGCTAAAATATTTCTTATAATTTAGCTGTAATGTAAGACAAAGCTTCTTGTTTTTTTGTTTTTTTTTTAATCTGTAACATTTAATCTGTAACATAGTAGAATGTCTGAAGCGGACTATCAAAATAAAGTGTTACCTAACATTTTTATTAACATAAACTGGGAGATGTATTAAATGAACCGACCACAATTCATTTTGTGATTCCAGAAGTTTCAGGAAGTGAACAAAAGTCGAGGGGAAAAATGTAAAAAAGCTATATGATTACGATTTACATATTTTTACATTACATTTTTTTCATCATTAAGAAATCTAATTAACTTTCATATATGAGATTGTATTAATTTAATCAAATAAATATATTTTTTAATTTTAAATGATTTTTAATTAAATTACGTTCAAATTTAAGCTTTCTTTTAAGCCTCCCTACATTTCAAGAACTACAGTATATGTTCAATAAAAACAGTTCGAGTTCTTAAGGGGAAAAAATTGTTGCAGTTTAAAATGTTTCATTACATTTTAAGCATTATAATTAAGTTAGATTATTTTAATACATGAATTTGTATTCATTTAAATATATAAATAAATAAACTGTTTGTTAAAGTGTTTTATGCTTAAACCTAGTGCTGGGCGGTATACCGGTTCATACCGAATACCAGTGTTTATTTTTGAATTCTTCTGACGATCCTCTTCAGATAACTGCAGCTCAGGAAGCTGATCCTTCACCAGGTCTATCACGTGCCCATCATCATCTCAAACACAAATACACACACACAACCTAAACACAGCTGTAATACACACCAACCTGCCAACTCATCTCAAAGGAGGAAGAAAGTAAACAGAAATCAAAGTGAAAACAACAATGGTATTTTAAGCTTTCCCTCCTGCAGCCTTCCATAATGCATTACTTTAATGCTTTAACCAAATGTAAACACATTAAGTTACATGATTTTTATCTTATAATATGCCATTTGAAAACAAATGTCTCTAAATACTAAATAAATATCTAAAGCAGTAAATTTTCACATTGGAGTGTGTAGTTGAACGTACCCACTGCGCACTGGCTGGCTGTAATGTTTTTGGTCACATTCTTGGAGAGCAGTAAGGCTGTGGGTCTTACATTTTTAAAACGGACACTTTTACTTTGCAGAGTTCTAAATATGTTGGTGCTAAATATCCACATTCAGGCATGATAATAAATCATTAAAGGTATTATCATTAAAGGCTTGTCATCATTTATCTCATATTGTTCCAAACCTGTATGATTTTTTCTTCTTCTGTTGAACAGAAAACAATCTATTTTGAAGAACATGGTAACCATACAGTTGCTGGTAGACATTGACTTCCAATAGTATGGAAGTCAAAGGCTACCAGCAACTGTTTGGTTTTTGGGTGATTTCATTTTTGGGTGAACTATTCCTTTAAGAAACACACACCCTGCAACAAAAAACTAATTCTTAGAGCAAAATAAATTTAGGAGAAGCTATTTTTGTGTCAGACAATAGGACAGATACGGATGCATGACATAACAGCACTATATGTGTTACTGGTCGATATCAAGTGTTTTTTAATTTATAAGTAGTGGTCAATATTGGATACTTTTAGGAGTCAATATTTCTGCCTATTTTAAAATTTAAATATGAATGCATCTTGACATTCAGAGAGTATATTTTGAAATCCTTTTTTACCTTATTATGTGTTTGTTATCGTTTTAACCATTAATCTAGCTAAATGTTAGTAGATTTGTGCTTGAAAAAATGCCAACACTGTAAAAAATTACAAATTTTCATTCAATTGATATATTCTGAAAACAAGTCTTAAAGGGGTCATATGATGCGATTTCAATTTTTCCTTTCTCTTTGGAGTGTTACAAGCTCTTGGTGCATAAAGAAGATCTGTAAAGTTGCAAAGACTAAAGTCTCAAATCCAAAGAGATATTCTTTATAAAAGTTAAGAGTCAACCACGCCTACCTAAAACGGCTCGTTCTAACACCCCCCCCACATATCACATCACTATGTGGGAAGATTTGCATAACGCCGCCCAAATGTTCACGCAAAGAAAGAAAGCGTGGTTTCAGGAACAGCAGTCCCTTTAATATTGTATGCAGACTATCTTGCTTATTTAAGTAGATATTTTGACCAGAAAACAAGATCAATTATGATTTTTGTAGTGTAGTGTAGAGGCAAAGAAGAGCAATTAAAAGCAAACAGTGAAATGTGATGATTTTTTCAGCATTCAGTCCTGAGGCAGTATAGGAAATTTCCCAACTGTACTGTGCAGCAGGTCCACATTTTTAGCCCCTGCACAAACAATTTCAAACATGCCAGCTCAAAACACTATCCCATGGGAAAAACAACATGCTCAGATAACAATCACTTTAGGAGAGGAAGTAAAATATTAGTCTTTGCAATAGTCCACTGTTGTGCTTTTCTTTATTTTATCTGTTTTCATTATTGCATGATTCTGTAACTACTGATTTATAATTAATCTATGTAAAGACTTTTGATTTTTTATCAATGACATGTGTATGTATATATATATACATATGTATATATATATATATATACATACAGTATATATACATATACACATATGTATGTGTGTGTGTGTGTGTGTGTATATATATTTAGATATTTTTTATGTTTTTGAAATGTATCTTCTGCTCATCAAGGCTACATTTATTTGATCAAAAATACAGTAAAAACAATGAAATATTATTAAAATTGTACTTTATATCTTTCTATAGTTACAGAATCACTCTATTATAAAAATGTTTCATTCTCACGGAGAAAAAAAAAAACCTCTTCGAATATCATCAAGTGCTCACTGACAGAGATTCACAACATGGCATGCAACATCAAGTGCTATCATACTTTTATACACAAGAACTATCACGCAGCGCTAAAGTCCTTGCTGCTGTTCAGTACAAAGTGGAAGCTTTATTTGTTTGGCCTTTATTCTGGGATTAGATTACTGAAGTGTAATAAGATTTTAAAGAGTGCTCTTATCTGAGTCCCAACCTTTTATGAGTCACTGCATGAGTGGATTGTACTCACTCAAGAATAACATAATGGCTATAATGAAACAACAACCCCTGACAGGCTTTGATGTTCAAACGGTCTGTGGTCTCTAAAAGGAAAACAGAACAGTAAATCCTGAAGCTTGTCCTCAGTGGAGCGATAGTTCTTCTCACTCACAGGCCATGACAGAGAGACATTCGGAAAGAGCCTACAATACTTCAAGCGAAATCGTAGAACAAACTGGTGTGATGTCGTTTCAAACAAAATCAGGCCAAAACCAAATTCGTTTGGAGTTCGTTTTGGGAGTTCAAAACCACTCGCCAAAGCAAACTACCCGAAAAGTCTGCTCGTTCTACCCTTGTACCGTTAAGCAAAGAATGAAAAACAACTCCAACATGCAAAAATGCCCTAACTGTGCAACATGACATTATAAATCCAGTAAGATTTCAAATTCCCATTAGGGTACAGATACTATCTGATTGAGAGAGGAATGTTGTCTCTCTCTGTAAAGATTACACTCACTTTCTTCCTCCTCAGATCAACATCTTTAAGGGATCATATGTTTAGTGCATGTGTTTGAAAGCGAAGAGAGTTATTTTGGCTGTCATGTGAAGGATGTAGTTTGACTCACTGTGGAGGGCGAGCTGGATGTACTGTTGAGCTCCTCTGGAGAGTCTTCCTCTTCCTCAGGAAGGGTGGGCATGGCAGGGATGAGCGGGGGCCGAGAGCGTGTGTGAGGGAAGATAAAATCAGTGACAGACTCTGTCACAAAACTATAAGCTCTCTTTAGTGAAGTTTGCTCAGCCCGTGAGCGTGTAAACTGACATACAGCAGTTGGGTCCTCTTGGTCCTGTACAGACACACAACACAACACATACATGTATGAGGAAACAGGATTATACAGTCACAAAACAGTACAGTTTTTGCCAGTGCCATGGTACACTGAAGGAAATATCATGGTACTGAACAATTACCATATTCAAATACGTGCTACTGAACTCCAAGGCACTGCAACGAATACAATGAGAATAGTGAAAGACCGATTAATTGGGTGACATTTGACCCTTCTGACAACGATTCAGCTCTAAAATCTTAAACCATTAACAGGATTTTAAAGGGGTCATATGATGCTGCTAAAAAGAACATTATTTTGTGTATTTGGTGTAATGAAATGTGTTTATGCGGTTTAAGGTTAAAAAAACACATTATTTTCCACATACTGTACATTATTGTTTCTCCTCATGTTTTGATGTGACTGAATAAAAATGTAAAAGAAATGTTCAATTAAAATGTAGATTGCTGTATTTAAATTGTATTATACATATTTTAGCATTATATTCTCACTAGATCAGTGGTTCTCAACCAGAGGGGCTGAAAAACTTCAAAGAAGGCCTCACGATGACTTACAATGGTTTAAAATAAGACAAAACATACATTAAAATAAGTCATAATAACAACAAAACATCAAGATACTTATTTTAATTTACCCCCTTAACAATGTTTTTATTTTCTTTGAAGAACCAGGATTCCCACTGTCTAGAAAAACCTAGATATGAGGTAGCCCAATTTTAAAAGTGTTTTCAAGACCTGGAAATGTCATGTAAAATTTAAAAATCTTATAACTCCATGGGTATTTTTTTTATTACAAAAATATTTTTTTTTAGTTAAGTCAAGCTCTAAAATATTTTATAGGACCAAAAAGAAAAAAAAAAAGTAAAAATCTGAAAACCCTTATCTTTGTCTGCAACATGAAAAAACCTAATAGAGTGCAACAGTCGATTTCTAGAAGTAAAAACGCCATTTATTTTCTCCATAGGGAAATGATAACTTGATGACATAACAAATCTTAAAGACAGACCTATTGTGAGGTCCCAGGTCATTATTCGATGACTTATGCTTTTGTTGAAGCCAACTCTTTGCATTATTACAACTTATTTTCAAAATAATCATGTTTAACAGTGGAATGATGCTGTATAGAAAATTCCACCAATCAGAAAGCTGCAGCGAGCAAATCGCACCAAAATAGCTCTGCAGGTAACGCCCTCTCCTATTTATAACCATGTTAACGTGTCCAATAAACCCCAAAACCATGGCACCCATGGTACTTTATGGTTAGTGGTATAAGAATAGGAACCACTTAATCACGGTGTGAGATTTGCGTGGCAAATACATGCATGTTTCCCCCCACTGGCATTCGTCCTATCATAAAACCCCATCTCATGTTCCTGCCTCTCAGAGAGGTTCAAGAGGAAATGATTCCCTTCAGCAAAATAACAGTTACTGATGGCATCTCATATACAAAAATATTGCTACAGTGATGATCAGTGCCAACAAGAACAACATCTGAAAGTGTCATCATCAGTAGTAAAAGAAAAATCTTATTTGCAGAATAAATGTGACCAACATCAACAGCCAAAGAGAGTGGAGTTTTATCACAGCTTATCTCTATCATAAACACATGTCTAAAAATATGCATGAGTCATTAATGCAGCAAATCATAATGGGGCTGTTTCAATTGTGTAAAGCCATTTGTCTGTCGAGTTGTTGTATAAACATGGCTTGGTCTCAAGGTACAGATTGAGGAGAAAGGAGACTTCTTCATTCTCCCGAACGCATTCCATTCCATGAAATGTCATCTGAAAGCTACAAAGGCTATCTTTGGCTTCCTGTACACCCAAACAAAACAGGAGACAATTTCAGAGACAAATGCTATTTTAGTGAATGTCTTACAAGGGAAGAGAAAATCAACAGTGTTTGCGTGGTGTGAAAGACTCCAGCAGTGAATTCACATTTGAGTCACTATGAAACTAGACCACGATTGTACAGAAGAAATAGACTCCTCATTAGTAACAAGCGCAAATAAACTCCTGCACCACTCATCCCACACACCTCTATCACATAGGAATCAACTAAATGACTAATGAAATATTGGCTGGAAATGTCACTGGATTTACAGCTGCATCATTAAATAGGTTTTTATGTTTTCTAAAGAAAATATGAGTGGTGTTTGACTGTACAAAACTCACCACCACCATGCTGGGGTGTGTGGATGTTGCCAGGGTGTTGCTATGTGGTTCTAAGTTGTTATGTGGTTTCTAGGTCGTTCTGGGTGGTTGCTAAGGTATTCTACGTAGGTGGTTACTTGGATCAAGTCAAAGATCCTACCTTCAAGCCCCAAATGGACAGGTTTCCTCCAAAGTTGTGAATTTTATTTAAGTGAACAAGAGTTTTGCAAAGCTATTTGCAGATAAAATAGTGTTTCCATCCAATGGGTTCAAGAGAACAGAACAGTCATTTCCAGATAGTAAATGATTCAGTTGTTCAATATAATCATCATTTATGATTTTGTTGCAACTTGGATCTCACACACAAAATGTTTTTATGAACCTTGTGTTTGCAAGCAATCAGCAGCAGTTCCATTGGGAACAAAAACTGTACTGAATAATTTTCATGGAAGTCTTTGGATACTTAATATCAGAACGACCAGAGGAACATTTCAGATGCTATGCGAAGATATTGGTCATCTGATATTGTCTCCTCTCAGGGGTGTCCAGTCTTGGTCCTGGAGGGCCACTGTCCTGCAGTTTAGCTCCAACTCAAATTAAACACACATGAACCAAGGTAATCATGGTCTTCATGATTACCAGAATCTTCCAGGAAGATTCCAGCTGATGCTAAACTCTGCAGGACATTGGCCCTCCAGGACCAGGACTGGACACCCCCGTTATCTCTAACAAATTATTCAGTCACATGACATTTTAAAGCACATCAAGGATTTCTTTTTTCTGTAAATTTGATTCCAGTAGTTTATGCATATCTTACTACAGAATAAAAAATTCTGTCAAACGAATTTTGCACATTTTGGACATTTTATTCACATCTTGGTGTTTCCAACTAACAATATCTCACAACTTGCATTAAAATGATGATAGAACCGATTTATCCTGGTTCTTAAAATTGTTTAGGATGCTTTGTTTTTCAAAATTTTTCCATGTTTCCTATTCTGTAAAGTGAAAATTCAGATTCAGATTCAAATTCGTAATTCAGAGTACCTTCTCCTGAACCAGCTGCACATTTTGAGGCATCGATTATGTCTGTAGCACAACTGGAATAAGTTATGCATCTCATTCTAACACTTAAAAGTAATAGTTTTGCCCAAACAAGCATCACTAAAACAAATGTTTACAATGGCATCAATGGAAGCACAGGCCAAATTGAGATGCCCTATTCTTGCTCCTACCTCAGAATTGTCTAATCATGGTTCTGGAAGGCCAACATCCTGCAGAGTTTAGCTCCAACCCACCCTTACACACCTGCCTGAAGTTTCTATTCATCCCGAGGACTCTGATTAGCTGGTTCAGCTACGTCTAAATAGGCTGCAGCCAGGGACGGACTGGGAGTAAAAAAACGGCCCTGGATTTTCTCCCAAATAGGCCCACCACAACTACAAACAGCAGCTACTATCTCACAATATTACAGCAATCAATGTATAGCATTTATGGCAAATAACATCACAAAACCCATGGTGACCCTGCTGAAAAAGACAATAGAAACATCACAGAAATTCTAATGGTTTCCACTACAAATACCATTACAAACATTACAAACCATCAACTTTGAATCATTAAAATAATTAAAACCATTAAATAATGGTTTCCTGTATTGTGTTTTGGGACATGTTCCATTAGGATTTAGTGGCTTTAATAATAATAATATTTAAAGGGGTCATATGATGCGATTTCATTTTTTCCTTTCTCTTTAGAGTGTTACAAGCTCTTGGTGCATAAAGAAGATCTGTAAAGTTGCAAAGACTAAAGTCTCAAATCCAAAGAGATATTCTTTATAAAAGTTAAGAGTTAGCCACACCTACCTAAAACGGCTCGTTCGAACACGCCCCCACATACCTACCTCACTATGTGGGAAGATTTGCATAAAGCCGCCCAAATGTTCACGCAAAGAAAGAAAGCATAACTTTTATTCTCGCTGTAGTATTGTTGACACTGCAGCCATGTCGTGAAGACGCTGTGTGCTTCGTTGTGAAAGCGAAACCACTTTGTTTGGTCTTCCAAAAGAGGACGAAATCCGCTTCGTCATGCCTAGAGCTGATCCATGCTGGTCGCTGAGGAAATACATCAACTTAGTGCTGTGGATCGCCGGATCGGCTTTCACCGCTCCTTCGCCGGGACCGCCGTTCTCGACCCCGCCGCCTCAGCTCACTCTTGCCCGGCCTCAGCTCACGCTAAGCCAGGGCTTCCGCTCACGCTAGCCCGGCCTCAGCTCACTCTATCCCGGCCTCAGCGCACGCTAAGCCGGGGCTTCCCCTCACGCTAGGCCGCTGTGTTTTTCCAAAGGTAACCTGATGTAACTGTTCGCTTTTTTTCCTTTTAGCTTCTCCACCTTTATCTTCATGTTTTTTGCTTGCCATCACGAGCCCTCTCTCCTTCGCGTCAGTTTCGGTTTATTATAAGCAAAAATAGATTGCATTAGGGCCCCCTTTTGTCGGCCGTCAACTTCACTTAATTTGATACTTTTTCTTTGATGATGAACCAGTCAGGCCGACGGCCGTCGAACGGACAGCCATTCTGGACTTCTCCAGAATGTCCAGATGACCAGTCCGCCCCTGGCTGCAGCTAAACTCTGTAGGAAGGTAGCCCTCCAAGAACAGGACTGCCTACCCTGTCCAAGATGATACAAAAATACTCAACACCCCTCCCTCAATTGGGTTTATATTAGAACCAAAACACTGGGAAGGATGCATACCTTAAATGGGAAAAACATTCTCGAGTCCAGGTTAAAAAGAAGGATGGAGTATTACTGAGTTTTTTAAAAAGGCAATTGATTCCAGAGGCATACAGATAATTATATGAAGGAATTCTCAATAAACAATGTGTTTTTATTCATAATAAATAATTCATTATTAATAATGTAAGGTGCACAGCTCATTGTGGACAGTGAATCGGTACCACATGAAATGATATGATTCAACAAACTGTTTGATAATGGAACTCACCCCTGGATTGTCAGTGAGATCAGTAGCTTGGACACTCGGACTCTTTGATGTGTCTGAGTCACTTGTTTTGGACTCCTCTTGAGTCTCACTGTTCCCTGTCCTTGCTTGACTCTGTCCACTGCTCTCCGATTCCTCTTGACTCCTCCCAGTGCAATCTGAATCCTCTCTTCCGTCTTGACACCTCCCAGTGTCCTCTACTTGGGTCTCTTCTGATAAACTGAATCCGTGATTATCCCAGACGTCCGCTGACTTGGAAGTCTGCCCTCGGTTCAAAAGTTTTAAGGCCTCTGTCCTACTGCTATGTTCTGATTTGTGGCACCTCCCAGAACTCTCTGTTCGTCCTCTGCTGTTTTGTAGCTCAGCTCCTGCACATCCAGTCTCTTCTTTATTTTGACTCCTGCACGTTTCCTCGTTTACAGCTAAGGTGTTCCTAATAGCCTCTGACTCTGAGAGGAAGCTGTCATTGCTTGCTGGCCAATCTAACCTAAAGGAAAACAGTGAACAAAACAACTAACTTATTGTCCATAACCTATGCACAATCTAGAACAACGTAAGATAACAATATACTACTATTAATAAAATACAACCAGATTTTTACATTTTATGAAAGGGTGGAGTGGAATTTTCATTTTTGGGTGGAGTATCCCATTAACTGGAATCCCTTTAACTAGGTGCATATTATGGTATCTGGATGGTTGCTAGATGGTTAATAAGTAGTGCTGTCAAACGATTAATCGCGATTAATCACATCCTAAATAAACATTTTTTGTTTACGTAATATATGTGTGTGTGCTGTGTTTATTTATTATGTATATATAAATACGCACATATACATTATATATTTTGAAAATATTTGTTTATATTTGTTGTTAATATACATTTACATGTATATATTTATATTCATATAATTTATATTATATATAAATATATTTAGTACATAAACATAACATATTTATTTTAAATATATATATGTGCATGTTTGTGTATTTATATATACTTAATAAATATACACAGTACACACAAATATATTACGTAAACAAAAACTTTTATTTTGGATGCGATTAATCACGATTAATCGTTTGACAGCACTATTAATAAGATGTCTCGATGAGTAGAAGGTGGTTACTAGGGTGTCCTGGTGGTTGCCAGTTGGTTACTAGAATGTTTTGGGTGGTTGCAAAATAAGTATTAGGGTGTTGCTAGTGTTAGTGGTTGCTAGTTAGTTATTATCGTGTTCTGAGTGGTTACTAGAGTGTCCTAGAGGTTTGCTAGGTGGTCATTACAGTGTTCTGGGTGGTTGCATGGTAGTTATTAAAGTGTTCTAAATGGCTGCTCAGTGGTTACTAGGGTGTCCTGGTGGTTGCTAGTTAGTTAATATGGTGTTCTGAGTGGTTGCACAGAGGTTTATAAGGTGTCCTTGGTGGTTGCTTGATGGTTATTAGAGAGTTTTAGGGTCTGAAACTGTGTATTGAGGTGTTCCGGTGGTTGCTTTTTTTTTTTTAAAGGGTCCTATTATGCTTTTTCACTTTTCAACTTTAGTTAGTGTGTGATGTTGCTGTTTGAGAATCAAAAAAGATCTGCAAGGTTACAAAGCTCAAAGTCCACTCTAAAAGGAGATATTCTCTTTAACAGAAAACACATTTCAAGAACTACAACAAATAGCTCATTCAGACTACAACATGCTTCTTCATGATATTGTGAAGTCATTATGTCACTCATTTAAATTCCCACCCATGGAATACAGAAAAAAGTGGGCAAGGCCTGGTTGAGCTGCGCTAGAGAAGACAAATGTCACGGTCGGTGGTAGTGTGAGGAGCGCGGAACGAGGAACGAGGAGACCAGGAGTACCCGGAACAGGGGACTCAGGTTGCCATGGCAGAGCAGGGGACTCAGGAGGCCATGGCGGAACAGGGGGCTCAGGTTGCCAAACAGGAACTCAACGGGAACATCCACGTGACAACAAAGAAGAAGAGCTGCTTTAGTAGCTTGTTGTCGCCATGGCGAATAGACACTTTTCCTGTATACAGTAAGTGCCATTACTTTTAAATGGTGTATAACACTGTACCTAAAATGTACAAGAAAATTACAAAAAAGGCAACACTTTATAATAACTTTCATTAATAAATCATTAACAAACATTATATAATGCTTAATGGATCATTAGTTAATATATATTCGAAGAGTTAGAAACGTGAGATAATGTGTTGTTAATGTTTGCTAATAAACTTATTAAACATTAAATTATTTTTAACAAATCATTATTTCATGCAAGTTAAAATGCTTACAAATGTAATTAAACTTTCAATTCCACATGATCAAGCACTTATTAAAAATCTACAAATGATTTTAACGGATGTTATAAAATGATTAAAAGCTTGTGTTAATGCACAACACTTTTACTGCTATTGAGTTGTGATATGGATAAGGTTAGGGACAGGTTTGGTGGTATGGGTAGGTTTAAGGGTTGGTTAAAGGGTCAATAAAGTGTACAGGGGTCAATTTAATTACTATAATGGAACAGTTCAATCTGTTTATATTGCATTGTTTTGATAAATGAACAAGTATTTTCTTTTAAAAAAGATTTGTTTTCTCCTGTTTATTTATGATTCATGGAACATCCTGTTTAATGGTATACTGAAGAGTAGTGTAATAATGTGAGTAATCTAAACTTAACCAGCCACCCTTTACACAAACCTTGTTACAGTAGCTAAAAGTCCAATGCCCATAAAGATACTAAATGATTAGTAATTGTTTATAAACATTTACAAATGAATAGTTTCCACTTTAGATTGGCTACTGCAAAAACATGAACAATTGATTAATAAATGATTTGTAAAGATGTGTAAATAGGGTAAATTCATGTCTTTCGGGACACTTTTTGCCCGAGATGACTGCTCATAAAGGTATTAATGATTACATTACTAATGTAAACGTTTATAAACATTTGCAAATTATGAATATTTTCCACTTTAGATTGGGTACTGCAAAAACATGAACAAATAATTAATAGATTATTTGTTAAGGTGTGTAAATAGAGGTCTACACAACAAACAAAGACCAACAAATGAAGATCATATGAACTGAAAGTTTACTGACATTTGTAAGCATTTTAGTCTACATTAAAGGGGTCATATGATGTTGCTAAAAATAACATTATTTTGTGTATTTGGTGTAATGAAATGTGTTTATGCGGTTTAAGGTTCAAAAAACACATTATTTTCTACATACTGTACATTATTGTTTCTCCTCTATGCCCCGCCTTTCTGAAACGCATCGATTTTTACAAAGCTCATGGGTCTGAAAAGCGAGGTGTGCTCTGATTGGCCAGCTATCCAGTGCGTTGTGATTGGCCGAATACCTCAAGCGTGTGACAGAAATGTTACGCCCCTACCATACTGTGATGCCGTGTCCCGGCCGGAGCGACGAGACAAAACCAATAAAACCCATTATAAACGAGGGATTTGTTGCATCCAGTGGGGACATTATAATGTCTTTTTACGTGTTGCATCGCGCCGCGTAAACATAAAACCATGTCTGCATTTGTGATCGGAGAAATGACAAACAACAAGCGCTACTCTACACTGCTCAAAACTCGCGTTTGAATCGTCAGTGGCAAATTCTTTATATATAAAAAACGTACTTACAGTCTGTGAGTCAGAACAGCCGGCATTGTAGTCTACTCTACCAGGATCAGGAAACAGCCCTCCATAAAATGTGCTGCACACATCTGAATATTTGGGTTGAACTGTTCTGGAACAGTGTTGTAATACAACTTAACCACTGATTTCTAGTCGTGTCCTCTTTTGGAAGGCCAAACAAAGTAGTTTCGCTTTCACAACGAAACACAGCATCACACACGGCGGACTTGAGTAAGCAGAGGCCGGCGGCTAGAGTGAGCGGTGGCGGGCGAGCTTGAGAACGGCGCGGCCGGCGGATTCGACGAAGGAGCGTCCGGCGGGCTTGCGTCAACCACATGTGACGACCCCAGGCTGGACTCCGCACATTGTGGTGTCCACAGTGGTTGGTGATTGTTATATGATTAACTAGAGTGTTCTGAGTGGTTGCTATGTAGTTTTTTTTAAAGTGTTCTAAGTGGTTATCTGGTGGTTACAAAAGTGGTTGTTTGGTAAATAGTTGATCAGTGGCTGCTAGGTGATTAGGGATGCAAAGGGATGGAAAATTCCGGAAAATTTCCAAAAATCCCTGGAATATTCAAAAAAATCCTGGAAAGTTTCCAAAATTTCTGGAATGTTTCCGAAATTTACTGGAAATTTTCCACATTTTTTGCAACCCTATAGGTGATTAGGCGATACAGCACCCTAGGTGGTTGTTATGTAGTTGCTAGGGTGTTCTGGGTAGTTGCTACGTAGTTCCAAGTATGTCTAAGTCAAAAGGGCTCAGTCCAGGTCTCTATGATGTTCTGGTCTCTAAATATTGAGTGTAGCAAAATAATAATGGAAAAATATATTTTTCTCTATTGCATTTCCCAAGAAGAATGTCTCCTTTGGGTTTTTTTTGGTCCACGCTAAAAGAGTTTACACGTAGCCTACCAGTTGGGAGTCAAAGTAATTTATTGGGGCCACGGTGGGTGACAGTATAAACTGTTCAAATGTTCCTGCACAGTCTCACCTCACGCTGGATCATCTTTGTGTGAGGATTTTACATAAACACACACAAGCCTTGTCCTGTAAGAAGTGAAGGAATGTAAACACTGACCCAGCTACATTCTCCTGTCTGTTGTGTGGCGTGGGCTCCTCACAAGCTGACGGTTCCGGCAAAGAGCTCTCAGTACAGAGTAAAGCAGGACTCTGTAGGGTAATCGCTCCCACAGATGGAAGACCTGAAAGGAACCAATACTGTTAAGCCCAAAGAAAACATACACTAGCGTATGCGTACAGTCGAATGCGTAGCCTTTCAAAGTATACTGCATTTCATAGCATGCATGAACGCAGACGGTCGACACATGTGCTCTAACAAGTTTCATCTTTGTCCACTGTCTGCAATACTTTTCTCTAGAAGTTATGACCCATAAATGTATCTATGTTCTCTTTTAAAGTAAAGTTGCTGCTATCTCATAACCCTCTCACACAAGCACTTGTCAATGCGAGTGTCTGTTATCATCTGTTGCAGTCTGTTGTTGTTCTGTCTCTTTAGTTTGATCTTCTGCTGTAAAACAATGGCCCAGGCAAGTGTTGCCAGCTTTGTAGAAAAAATGATTAGTGCACAATAAATTCAATGCACATGTGCGACCTGCATGTACAGAGTGATCAATCAGGTGGTGTTCATACAAAATGCTCATACTATTCTGGGGATAAAATATGCATCACACGGACCTTTACGAAAAAAAAAACCCAAGTACAGTTTGGGCTTTAAATAAGTGTGAGATCTCTCAAATACCTCGATTAGGTCTGTGGCGCTTATTTGTCCTACAGAGAGCAATGAAATTACATTGAGACCAAATGGAGACTTTTGGAACCTACTCTACTGTAAAAAAAGGCATGTCGTGTCTACTGTAAAAAAAAAAAACTGTGGCCAGATTTGCAAAGTCCGCACTCAAAAGTCAAGTTCTCAATATAAACTCAAAATATTCCAAGACCAAACAGCTCTATACTCATACTGTATGCCAACAATTGTCTCACATATTACACCGTGAAACTAATTTTTATAAAAGTTTTGTTTTGCTTTGCTATTTTTAATGTTTCTTTATGAAGTTTGACTCATAGTTTTGCTCATGAAAACTAAACAAAAATTGACAATTTACACAAGCTAATCTGTTATTACTCATGCATAAAAACATAAACAGTTACACCAAAAGTGAGTCGTCCAAAACTTCAGAAGTGTACATTCCCTTACGAAAAATTAACCATGGTTTAACTACAAATAAAACCAAAAAAAACATGGTTAATATAGTTATACCATGGTAACCACAAATTTACCATGGTTTTGCAACACTATTGTAACCATGGTTACAAAACTTTTACTATATTAAAACCATGGTTAATTTTCATAGGGGTTGGATGATTTTTGTATTTTATGAGTAGTCCCACAATGTTCTGGAATGTTCCAGAAAGCACTAGAATATTACAGAATGTTACAGAAACTTCTAGAATGTTCCCATCCTTGCAAAACCAAAATATCTTGCATAAAAAATTTGTACAAAAACTTATGTGTATGTGTATGTAAAACTTTATTTTTTTTAAATGTTTGTAATAATTTTTCTGGATTAACAAGAGACATTTGTATCTCTTGTATGCGTACTGATCACTTATGTATTGTGTGTTGATTTTATTTTTTATTTTTTGCTGTTATGATTGAGTAGGGCTGAGGGACTGTATTATTAATGACTAGTTTTGATTAATTTTGTACTTTTTTGTTGTTATCTTGTCTCCAATAAAAAAATAAATAAATTAGGCAACTGACCACAAGGTGACAAAAGCAAAAAAAAAAAAAAAATCACAACAACAACAAAAAAACGTATGTGTACTCACCCAATGTTTCATAATTAATTTACCTGACCAAAATATTTACCAAAATACTGATGCTATGTGAAAATAAATAGTTCATTAAAAATAAGCATAATTACAGAAGAATCGTAAAAAAAAATGTAAGTGAAATTTTTTTTTTCTACATTGTGTTTTTTTTAGAGAAAACATCTGAGGCAAAATTGATACTTATTTGAAACATAACTGAGAACACCTGAGCTAAGAAAAGAGCAATCTTTTTGTAATATTACCTGCAGACACCGGCTCAAGGCAAACACTGTCAGCACGTTTCAGCCAAAGCTCAGATGGTGAACCAGGATCCTGATCTAGGAGGGTTGCATCTGGGTTTCTGCTGACCTTAAAGAAAAATACACAAGATATACATCTTCAATGACGACTTTATGCCAGATGAATCTTTCCTCTGTTCTGTTGTGTGCTATGTATGTTATCTTATCAAAAAAGACCATTCAAAATATAACTGACATTTAAAAGTGATGATATCAAAAGGATTTCCCTAACACTTTGACTAAAATAGGCCTTAGTGCTGGGTGGAAGCGATAACGGTTTGAAGGCACAATATCAAAACAATCTCTTCCACATTCAACACAGGACTTGTGAAATCTCAGAGCACTGCAATGATTTATATTGGCTTGATTTTGATGAAAATATATGAATCATGTTTTGCGATTAAACATACTGAGGCCTTCACTAGAGACATGGTTTCAATAGCACTCAGTCCTCTTTTCCCATTTCCTATTGGTACAGTAGGATAAGAGAAATCCCAGATGATTTCTTCGATTGTTACTTCAAAACAGCAACGAGATTGACTCTTTCTTAAATTCTTGCCTTTTAGAATTCTCTCCTGAGAAAAAAAACATCCTAGTAATCTAAATAAGTGTCTCCTGCAGTGTTTCAATAGATATTAATATATAGTTCAGTCATGAAACTCTAGATGGCGCAGGCTGACGGGTTGTTAATGTAACTGATGATATTCAGAGAGTTAAACGACTTGGCACAAGCTGATTGGTTCATGCTGCATATGCAGCCAATGAGCTTACTGCCTTGCATTTATATGGCTGGCTAGCATTCACTAGAGATTCCTGCAGCGCGCTTTCAGAGTTTCTCTGAAACCCTCCACCTTCCCCAGCTCCACCTGTATAGATCTGCTATGGGTTATTTTATATGCTATTTGTGCAGCAGCAGTATGTCTTAAATACTCACGGCACCGCATCGCCGTATGCATTGGCAGTAGCAAGTTCCTGTACCTGCTTGCAGCAGCAGCAATAATCTACAACTACAGCAATAACCAACAGCAGCAGCAGCAGCAGCAGCAGCGTAGCAGATCTATTTCGCCAAGACCAAATACATTATCATTGTCATATCCATCACCATGTTAAATCTTCCGAGAGTTGTCATGATTGAAATAATGTTTCAAATATGCTTAGATTTGCCAATATAGCAAAGTCTGCAACAAAAAGTCTTTCAATGTGATTTCAATATTAATGGAAACATTCCCCATCAATTCTTCCATAAGCATTATTCGAGCTGTGTGATTCACAATCATTTTATAGCTCTGTACCCTTACTCTTAACAATCGTTTCGTTTGTGTCTATTTTTGTTTTCCTTAAAGAATTTTAGGAGAGACATCTGAGACAAACTTGATATTATGAAATTAAAAACTCAATTGAGCTCCATCCTGCTATAAAATAGCAAACTCTGAGCAATAAAAATGTGCTTCTTGTTCCTGACATGTGGTCAGCGAAATTTCACCAATAATTACTGCTCACTCTCCTCCAATGTAAGAACCATAAGTTACCAGTTTTTTTTATATAGATGTGGAATAAATAACTGTGTGGATTAAGCAATTGTTAACCCTAGTGAAAAAAATAAAGGTAAAATATATTTATTTTGTGCTAAGCATAATACAAATACATTTACATATTTATATGCTTAATAAAAATACCCTGCAGTTGTACTTTTGGAATACTAAACTGGTCACTAATTGTGAGGAAGTAGTGCTGAAGTTCAACTAAAGATATACTTCAGCATATCTGTGCTAAAGTGGAACTATTTCAAGTATACTTCAGGTACACTTTAAATATCTTGCATTTAAAGACTGATACAGAGATCATACAATCATTATTTATAGTGATATTAAAACACATTTTAGGCATATTAAGAAATGTGCATTGTGCAATAAAGAAATACTCCAAATAAATGTAATTATAATTTCATATCAGTAAGTCTTAAGTGATATGTCAATAAATATGTATTTGAAGCATACTTAGTATGAAATACATGTATTTTAAATCAATTATGGCATAGGTTTATTTTACTAGGGAAATAATTGTAACTAATCTAATAAGTGTAATATAACATCTCTTAGTGATGATGACAATTATTGGCAATGTTTTTATGATGCAATATTGGAGCAATAAAATTTTTTAACCGTGTAATATTTTCCAGTTAATTCTGTTATTAAACTTTACCTAAAAAGTTGTTACTGGACTATTGGATGTTATTCAAGTTCAAATAACGTTCACTTATGAAGAAGCAACAAATACAAGGAATTGGACAGATTGCTATCACAGCTATTTTTACACTACTATTCGAAATTCTGGATCAGAATTTTTTTTCTTTCTATAATTAATGTTTATTCAGCAAGGATGCGTTAAATCGATCAAAAGTGACAGTAAAGACTTTCACATTGTTTCAAAAAATATATATTTCAAACAAATGCTGTTCTTTTAAACTTTCTAGTCATCAAAGAATGAATAATGGTTTTCACAAAAATATTAAGCAGCACAACTGTTTTCATCATTGATAATAATTCATGTTTCTGAAGGATCATGTGACACTGAAAACTGAAGTAATGATGCTAAAAAATTAAGATTTGCCATCACAGGAATAAATTACATTTTAAAATGTATTAAAACAGAAAACGGTCTTCCTTTCACCTCTTTAACAATATCATAAAGACTATCACAAGAATATGATAAATATGAAAAAGTACGCATTGCATGTATATAAGGATAAGTAGATAGGGCACTCTAAATGATTTCAGTGGTCCAGTAGCCATTCAAGGAGCACGTTCCCCTGCAGAGAATGACATGCAGATGAATATTGCAGTGTAATCCAATCACCCTGATTATTTCCTGCTGGCTACGAGTCTATGTTTGTGAGCTTTCTCTCTCTATAACTCGCCCTCCTTCTTTCTCTGTGGTCAATGTGTCTTCTATTCTCATTGACTGGATCTATTTTTACTTGGCCTTTGACTGTCACCACTTAGAAGAGTTCAACTCTTATAAATTTAAGGAGGATGGAAGGTCATCTTGATGGCAGGTCCCTCTGGGACCCTGATGACCTCAGTGTTACCTCATGGCAAAAGCTCTGACGTGGCTGCATGAGAAAGTGCATGTCCTGCCCCCCTCCTTTCACTTGTTATGTAACACAGATACAGTGAGCCAGATTTGCTGAAAATTTGGTTGTGTGAAAAAGGAAGTGGCTGCTATACAATCATTGTAAAAGAGACAACAGGAAATGGAGGGAGTGTTCGAGAAACTGGCGGTTCAGATGAGCATCACCAAAAACCTGTCATGAGCTGGGGAAAATACTCTTCTTCATCCTTTCGGTACACGAAAGAAAAGTATGGACTGAGAAAGACCATTTTCAAGTAGAATGTCAGCACTACAACATATTTTGAGAAATATGTTGAAGAAACCGGTTTCACATACAATGAGGTACAAAAGTAAGAGACCACTAGTGGAAATTATGGTGTGTTCAAGTCATGTCGGATAGGTCGTATTTACGAGTTGAACGCACATGAACGCCACCACAAAGTCGTTATTATGAGTGGGAAACTCAAAATTTTCTTTAAGCCCCGAGGTTCCGAGTTGGGGGCGTGTCAATGAGAAACATGGCGGAATCGATGGATGCAACGTCTGTAGTTGATGGTAAATTTTTGTTTAAATTGATAGTTTAGTTGTCCTATAAACTTAAATTGGTCATGTTCTTGTTACGCAGCTTTTATTCAGCAAGGATGCGTTAAATCGATCAAAAGTGACAGTAAAGACTTTCACATTGTTTAAAAAAAAATCTATTTCAAACAAATGCTGTTCTTTTAAACTTTCTAGTCATCAAAGAATGAATAATGGTTTTCACAAAAATATTAAGCAGCACAACTGTTTTCATCATTGATAATAATTCATGTTTCTGAAGGATCATGTGACACTGAAAACTGAAGTAATGATGCTAAAAAATTAAGATTTGCCATCACAGGAATAAATTACATTTTAAAATGTATTAAAACAGAAAACAGTCTTCCTTTCACCTCTTTAACAATATCATAAAGACTATCACAAGAACATGATAAATATGAAAAAGTACGCATTGCATGTATATAAGGATAAGTAGATAGGGCACTCTAAATGATTTCAGTGGTCCAGTAGCCATTCAAGGAGCACGTTCCCCTGCAGAGAATGACATGCAGATGAATATTGCAGTGTAATCCAATCACCCTGATTATTTCCTGCTGGCTACGAGTCTATGTTTGTGAGCTTTCTCTCTCTATAACTCGCCCTCCTTCTTTCTCTGTGGTCAATGTGTCTTCTATTCTCATTGACTGGATCTATTTTTACTTGGCCTTTGACTGTCACCACTTAGAAGAGTTCAACTCTTATAAATTTAAGGAGGATGGAAGGTCATCTTGATGGCAGGTCCCTCTGGGACCCTGATGACCTCAGTGTTACCTCATGGCAAAAGCTCTGACGTGGCTGCATGAGAAAGTGCATGTCCTGCCCCCCTCCTTTCACTTGTTATGTAACACAGATACAGTGAGCCAGATTTGCTGAAAATTTGGTTGTGTGAAAAAGGAAGTGGCTGCTATACAATCATTGTAAAAGAGACAACAGGAAATGGAGGGAGTGTTCGAGAAACTGGCGGTTCAGATGAGCATCACCAAAAACCTGTCATGAGCTGGGGAAAATACTCTTCTTCATCCTTTCGGTACACGAAAGAAAAGTATGGACTGAGAAAGACCATTTTCAAGTAGAATGTCAGCACTACAACATATTTTGAGAAATATGTTGAAGAAACCGGTTTCACATACAATGAGGTACAAAAGTAAGAGACCACTAGTGGAAATTATGGTGTGTTCAAGTCATGTCGGATAGGTCGTATTTACGAGTTGAACGCACATGAACGCCACCACAAAGTCGTTATTATGAGTGGGAAACTCAAAATTTTCTTTAAGCCCCGAGGTTCCGAGTTGGGGGCGTGTCAATGAGAAACATGGCGGAATCGATGGATGCAACGTCTGTAGTTGATGGTAAATTTTTGTTTAAATTGATAGTTTAGTTGTCCTATAAACTTAAATGGGTCATGTTCTTGTTACGCAGCTAGTTAATGAAATCCAAGTAAAAAAAATGCTATAATTTTTGCACCTATAGGTGAAAAATCTTTTGATTTGCCATGTTGCATGTTGCATTTAGCTAACAGCTTTTTTTAATCTCTGTATTTTAGCATTTGTTGATGCTGAAAATCAGTTATACTGGGATCCTGGTCTAAAAAAAATATTAAAAACGCAAAACACACCTGATGCGAATTCTTTGCTCTTCATTTCCTATAAGCAGAGTTAACAGACCCTGTTGTATTTTCTTGTAATTTATTAAAAGAAGGTACACCGCCATCTTGTGCCGACTAAACTGACTTGAACGCACCTGACGTCGTAATTAGACTTGTCAACTCGTAAGTACGAATGTCCCAGGAGGACTTGAACGCAGCATTAGAGATGAAACAATATAAAATTTTCAAAGTGACCAAAATCATCACGGTTATCGATATTATTCATGGTATTGTTAAAATGTGTTGAAATCATCATTATTTTTAATCATTATTATGATATTGAAAAACAACAAACAAATAAAATTAGCAGAACTATGCACTTTTTGTTTGCATAAACGTTGAAGTAATATCATCCATGTCAGACGGATTTTAAATGAACAAATAAGTTGGTTGAGTGACTGTGATGTTATCTTCTAAAATGTACTACAACGTTCAAATAAAGTTTTGACAAAGATTTATAAAATGAATGCATTTTGGATTTTCTTGGATACACTTTTGAATTAGCAGAACAATTTGAGTGAGATGTTGAATGGAAAAAAATGTCAATGTCTTACACTGAAGAAAATGTTAAGTGTGATATCATTTAAATTACATAATATTTTTACTAAATGCACTGGGTTATGTCAACAAAATTAAATTTATATCAGGTTAGACTAGGTATAAATAGCTGTCAATTTCAAATGACCTTTTATAGTCTATAGTTTAGTATTTAGTTTAATTGTTGCTTTACTAACAACAGCAGCATGCAATCTGACATGAATGCCACATGGTTGTGTAAAATCTGTTGATCATGCTGTCCTGCGTGATTTGAGCATCATCCAAAGAGCATCTTGAGCTTCAATGGAAATCTGACCGTCTGTCACATGATCAATGTCACAATTAGGCTTATTCGATTAGCGATCTAGAAATAGTGCAGGAACTAAAACTTTATTTCCAAGATTATAAATGTGGTCTCAGACTTTCGAACACCACCGTATACATGTCACCTGAATGCTGCTCCTGAGCAGAATGTGTGTAACATGCATTTTTGTACATCAAAAAAGAGCATTTCAGGCCATCTGATTTCATTTTCATACACAAAACAATGTCACATCTCCTAGGAAACCAGGTTGTGTACTTTAAAGTACTTCTTTCTGGAAGTGTCCGGCGCAAGCTCTTGTCTCAAGAGAATAAATCAATCCATGCAAAGAAAAACTTGCTTAAACTCTACCTGATTGGCCAACAAGGATGAAAGATGCTCTCTCAACAGTCCACTATTTCCTTCAAAGCCCTCTTTGTATTTGTGCTGTTGATATTTTTCCTCAAAGCTCCACAATCTTCAGCGTCCTTTCTCTTTTCCTCTCCCTGACTTTTTTCCCTGCACCAGCTTCCCTGTGACTCCTGGGAGCTTTGACCATTTAAGGAGAAGCCTTCTCGTGCTTCTCCGGGCTGCTACTGCCGTGTGTATGTGTGTGTGCGGTTTCTGCCTAATGCTCCAATGAGCTGCAGCTGAAGAATGACTCTGTCCTCCTCGGCCTGTATGTTTTGGACCTCTGCCTCTTTCTCATTTAGATTTAGTTATTAAAATGTTATGAAACAGGTTTCTCTTCAGCACACTGTTAATGACAGCAATCTACCTTCTTTCCTCTTTAAATATTACTAATGAACACGCATGCACAAGTTTAACAATAAGCATCTGAACTGCACCAAAACCAGGCCACTACAGAGGAAGTGATGAAGAGGGGTTTTTTAAACTGTCTGAATATGCAAATTCTGTGTGACATCTGAACTGTCTTCTTTAAAACAGCTGCTATATATATATATATATATATTGCTCACCATTGGATATTCTGCAGTGAATGGGTGCCGTCAGAATGAGAGTTTAAACAGCTGATAAAAACATCACAATAATCCACAAGTAATCCACACGACTCCAGTCCATCAAATAACATCTTGTGAAGTGAAAAGCTGCATGTTTGTAAGAAACAAATCCTTAATAAAGGCATTTTAACTTTAAACCGTTGCTTCTGGCCACACTACGAGTCCACGGTGCTTTCCCGTGTAAAACCTACTGCCACCAAGCCAGGGCAGCTGTTTTCAATCAGAGGGAAGGGACCCATAAGGGGCCTTAGAAAACACCCAAGGGAGCCTCTAATGGCTTTAAATGATTTAAAATAAGACAAAACATAATTTTAAACAAGCTATACAGCTAACACGCAAGATGTAAACTGGCATCATGCATCTTATTTTCATTTGTTCTCTCAACAACTGTCATTTTTATTTAGGAACCAGGGTTCTCACAATCTTGGAAAAACTGGATATACGAGTGTGATTTCTAGACCTGGAAAGGTCATGGATAATGAAAATACATTTTTGCTCAAGCTATCTGCTATTTGTGAATATATGTTTTTAAAAAAAATCCAAATAATTTCAAACAATTAAAAAAAAAAAAGTCCCAAACATTTACTGGTAACAAAAAGTGTAAACCTTGACGAACATTCAGTTATTAAAACGGATAGGGATTTCTGTTTGCTAAGTCAAAATAGGCCTGCATAATATTCTGGTCACTATATATGGCTTGGTTTGGTTATTTCCTTCAATGTCTCTGGCAAGCAAAAAAGCATTAGCACATCTATTCTCAATAAGCGGCATGATTTTAGGTAGCATTTAGACATAATTTGTCCACTGCACAAATGTGCGGAGGGAGTTATATGCCAAAGTTTAACAAACAATCCCTATGCCTAAGAATTAGCAATAATAACAGTGATGTTTGACTTAGCAATGACACAAAAAGACAAGTAATCTGCTCTGGAGATGCTATGGGATATTTCAACATACTACAGATTTGTCATAAAACACCATGGTCAAAATTAAAATGACAATAATGGAAAAAAATGTATATATACAGTATATATATATGAAATTAATATAAAGAGCTTTTTACCTTGTTGCTGTGGTCCTCTGCTCGCGTGCACAGAAGCGAGCCACCTGTTTGAAAGCAGCAAGAGAGATCCAGGCTTATTTGCAAGTCACGGGTCTGTCATGCAAATGCACAAGTGTTATAATGCACATTAAATAGTCAGCCATCTAACAGCATGACGCACCAAAGGAGGCGTAGCGCTTGATTGACATCAGAGTTTTCAATACTTCTTTCAGACTCTCTCCCTCCCTCCCACACTGCCTCCATATCTAAGGGCAACAATAACCTGGCAACCATTTACATGAGGAGCTTGATCCTCTGGCTGAAAGCACTTGGCGAAGCAGAGACTCATTGTTTCACTTCCTTTAAAAGCATGTATCATTTGGACAGTGGTTGTAAAACGTTTAATGATGCTCTTCAAACAGCAATAATCTGTGTATAATACCATGAACTTAAATGCAGGTCATGGTGAAAAAACAACAACAACAACAAAACATTCCACATTAATCACTGACATCTTCAGGAGAAGAAAATAAGCTTAAGCATTTATAGCAGCTGTTATTTATTCAGAATGTTGCGAGGAGAGCGTTTAAGGATGATAAATACAGACTGTCATTCAGCCCACTGCTTGGATCTTTATATCTTTATTACAGACTGTAATGTACAGCAATGAGATTGAGATGAGCAGCTCAAAATGAGAACCAGACACAAGTGATATGCTGACATTTCCAATTATAGTGACTTCAACCAATGCATGATGACTTTGCCTGTGCTGGAAATGACCAAATTGATCTAATTGTTTATTGTTGCTCTTTAAAGTGCCTGGTGAATGGATACATGTCAATATGCAATTATTTATCCATTTATCTGACCAAGACAAACTAAAAAAGACCTTGCAAAAAGAGGAACTTTATTAAAGATCAAAAAACTTTTCAACCAGACCACAACAGCTAAATCAAATGCAAATGTCCTCCCAGTTCTGCAGGGTGAAATAATCTGGTAAATGCTTTGCATTAACCATCTCACCCATAAAACTTCTCGAGAAACTAGTTCAGTTCTGTGTATGTGTTTCATGCTGCAATATTTACAAGTTAAAAAACACACAAACAACCTCTGAGACAGTAAACATAAGTTAATGATGGCACTGTAATAATAAAATATAATGAAGTTCATTATTTCATATTTACATAATACTTAAAAGATCAATAGTCAATCATTTACTCGCCCTCATTTTGTTCCAAACCTGTATGACTTTCTTTCTTGTGAGGCATTATCTAGACAAATCAAGTTATACAGGTTTGGAATTTCATTTTTATTTCTGGCTAACCTAACACTTGATTTAAAATTTAAAATTCCACACAGGGGTTGGTCTGAGGTGAATGAAGAAACAAGTACAACTGTTCAAAAGTTTGGGGTCAGAAAGATGAAATGAATTAATAATTTTATTCAGCAAGGATGCATTAAATTGATAAAAATTGACTATACAAAAAATATTTCAAATAAATGCTGTTCTTTTGAGCTTTGTCCAAAAAATCCAGAAAAAAAATGCATTACGGTTTTCATAAAGAAATATTAAGCAGCACATTATTTAAGAGTAAACTATTTCTTGAGCACCAAATCAGCATATTAGAATGATTTCTGAAGGATCATGTGACACTGAAGACTGGAGTAATGATGCTGAAAATTCAGCTTTGATCACAGGAATAAATTACATTTTAAAATATATTACAATACAATCCAGTTATTTTAAATTGCAATATTATTTCACAATTTTACTTTTATTACTGTGATCAAATAAATGCAACCTTGCATTTATACTTTTAGAAACATTCTTATCAACCCCAACTTTTGAATTGTAGTGTATTATTTAACTGCCAATAATTCAACAACTATTTACAATGACTTTTGCCTTTGAAGTCAAGTTTATCAGGTTTATGTAGATTATTTCATGTAATTGTCCTCTTTTGCTGAGAGAGTGTGACTAAACTTTTTTTTAAACACTATACCTGTGCATAATGCACATAATGTTATCTCTATGAAACAGCTATAGACATCAGCCATAAAATACAAAGCATCTGAGAGACAGGCTGCATGGTCAATCATATTATTGCATGTCTGTTTCACTTACTTTGGACTATACTCATTTGATAAGCAAATGCAACTTTTTGTCATACATGAAATAAGCAGAGAGAAAAAGGTTGCAAAAACATTTTGTGTCAAGTATACACACACAACTGCTGTTGTTTAGAGAGCAAACAGACACAGCAATTTATGCTTTTACAAAAAGTCTACACTTTGAATATATCACATGATTCAACACAATTAAGGCCCTATACCGTGTGTGTGAACTAAGATTCTCTATTTTCTTCAGCTCTATAAACAGCACATGAGGCAGCTGCACTTGAGCCAAAGCCACAGAGCTCTCTACAGACACAGCAGGAAGAAGTTTATGCCATAAGAGAACACACACAAAAATACTGCACACAGACATAAAAAGATACACATTATAAAGAAACACTCGTTCACTGTTACACTAAAAAAGCAGATAATCATTGTGTACACTTTATACAATGATCAATAAAACTAATAATAAAATTAATAAATAAAGTACTTGATAACATGAAGGGTGTAATTTTTCTGTTACAATACTTGTTATTTTAAAACTATAGTTATTTTAGGATTATTTATATACTATTTTATTTATTAATATTTTGAAATAGCATTTATTTTTATGTTTACAATTTTCATTTTAGCTTACGTTTCAGTAATTTTGTTATGTGCTTATTTTATTATTATTATTATTTTTTTTCATATTTCTCTTTAACTTTCATTTATATTTATTTCAGTGTTAGTTTTAGTTCCCCTTCTAGGGAACTGCGTCCTCTAATACAGGGGTTTTCAACCTGTGGGCCAGCACCTGTCAAGGGGGGCGCCAGCATCAGTTAATTCAGAGAGGTTCCCTTGAGAATTTATGAATATGAGTTAACAAATCTTTAGCCATCCACTAGGGGGCAATCTGACTCCCACTGCTAGTCGACAGTTAGAGCAGAGTTGGCTCGAGTATCAGTCACGCTCAGTGTTGCCAAGTCCACGAAATTGGGCTACTTTAACACTTGCCGCGTTTTGTAGTTTTG